GAGAGAGAGAGAGAGAGAGAGAGTGTGTGTGTGTGTGTGTAGGCCTATGTGTGTGTTGTTTGTTTGCGTGTCCGCGCTCAGGATCATCCGAGTCCATTTTGTATTTCCTTGAGAAAAAAAGGCTTTTTCTTTTTTCTTTTCTTGAAAAATAATGTCCAGTTGTGCTTCCGTATCATCCGTCATAATTAATCACACAACCTTGACTTTGAGCGAGCTAACAGGACACAGCGGACTTATGGAAAAGGATCCAATTATATAAATATAATTAATCTTTTAGCTTGGCGTTCCGTAGAAGAATACATAATCATTCCACAGTGACGCGCTACAACATTGAGGGCAAATGGTAGGTAGGACGACCCGATACGTTCCCTACAGACACCATCTTTATGAGAAAAGGCCCGACCAACGATTTCTGGTCCTGAAAGAATTGAAAAGTTGAAGAAATAGAAGGTCTAACTCACATTTGGTCGCGTTTAAGCACAAGGGGGCTATCCCGAAAAATGCTGTTTTGAGAAAATCGAAGGTAAAGTTTTGGCCCTTTGTTCAGTTTCTTTAAAAGACAAGGAGAGTTTTCTCTATAACCAAACAAATATACGCACCAATGAAACCAAACTTCTCCTATAGGAAGGGCAATATCCACTTTTGGTGTAGGTTAAGATTTCTGGAAACCCCCGAAATTTGGGTTAGCCCGCTTGTCCTTAAAAGACACCATTGTGCTTTAAAATAGGATTCTTTTCGTATGACTTTCGTCGAGTGAGACTACTCGGCAAAGCGTTGGAATGAAATATACTGTCCGAATGGTATTTAATTAAAGTTATGGCCTTTACAAATTACCTAAACTCTCAGTAAATCCAGACCCCCTCCCCCTCCCTCCGCTACACACACACACACACACACGCACACACACACACACACACACACACACACACACACACACACACACACACACAAACACTCTCACACACACACACACTCACGTGCATGCCCGTCCATTCACACATACTCTCTCACACATCCTCTCTTTCACATAGATTACAAGTACACTCACAATTTTATATTATGCTTACACTCACAAACTGACCTACGGTCACATGATGATGTAAATCAAGAATTATAATTAATAACAATAATAATAAATAGCATTTGTATAGCGCATATCCTCGCTCGACAGCAAGCTCTATACGCTTTACACTATATTATTACCCCAGCAGACCATAAAACTCTCAGAAACATTCTCAGCTTCCCGGGAAGCATACAGTGCAAGCAGCTGATTAAGCGCTCAAACACTAACAAACTGACAAGATCTTTCGCTTTCTATAGCTGGGTACCCATTCTCACCTGGGTAAAATGAGGAAAATTCATGTAAAGTGCCTTTCCCAAGGACACAACGTCGGGTCCCTGGCGGGATTCGAACCCACGACCTTACGGTTGCGAGTCCGATAGCTTAACCACTGAGCCACCGACGCCATTATTAATAGTAATTTTAGCTAGTCATATAATCAGTATTCTGATAGCAATCTGGTGGTATTCTGATAAGCCTACATGTTTAACATTCAAAGAAATGCTAATTTATTTAGTTAACAAGAAAAACGGAATCAGAATGACAACACAGTAAATTAACACGCCTTTGTTTCTACTCACTCAAGCACATAGGCCGTATGCAAGCACATGTTCCCACTCTCAGCACCCGCGTTTGTTGTGTAGCAGTTAGGTGCTTCGGAGTCCCACGCAAGAGGCCCAATTTCGGTTCCCGAGCTGGGAGAAGTGGAGTCTCTTTGCTTTTTACGACAAGCAGAACCTTTGTTTTTTTACTTATCACAGAGGTTTGCACAGCTTATTCGTGTACATTGGGCTAATATTTGATAGATGTATTATTTTCTTTATAACTTTTTTAAAATTCCATTTTTTCTCTTTTCTCCACAGCTCTGGCTGTCCGATTCGTTACTCGTCGCTACATTGGTGAATACGATCCTTTCCTGGGTGAGTTTTTACACGAATCAACAGCTGTGGAAATTAAAGGATAAATATGCAAAGAAATCAAGAAACAAATAAATGAGCAATGTAATAAATTATTATGAATTTTTTTTAAAAAGAAGTAAATGACAGGCCTCGTGATGATAACTATTACATCCGTCATTATTACTGATTACGACCATTAACGTCCAAGGAAGAAAAGAAGTTATAGTAGACTTTGCTAGCTGCCGCATGTAGCTATCATTGTAAAAGATAAAAGTAAAGGAAATATAAGCAAGCAGTATGATCTCAAACGCCAGAACTCACCAATGGTTGCAGCACCTTTCCTTTTTCTTAAGTCGTTTGCTTATCTACCTAAAGAATTATTGTATGGTGATGGTTAATGCTAACATTAAGGTCTAGGAGGCAGGACCTCCGATTATAATGTCCATCTCAGAAAGGACAGAGTTAAGTTGGACTTGAAAAATCTGCCAAACAATTCAAGTTTAAGAGAGAGTGCCCCGTTTTGGGATTCTACAGGCAGCCCGACGAAGTCGGAATTGCAGACACGGTAAAAATTCAAGTTTTAAAATCAGTAGCGTAAGTCTTTTAGATAGTACTATCTACTTTCTTTGGTAAAGACTAATGGCCTTAATAAAGTGGAGAATACTGTTGTAAACAATGATCCAAAATAAATTCTTCAAATTAGAGCATTAGAATAATATTTCTTTCTGGTTTCTCCAAAGTCTGGGCATTCTGTTAGGGTGTGCCTGGTCGTAAGGACAGCATTGCATCCGACGCAAAATTTTAATAGTTTTTCATTTCTCTGCAGAAGGTATCTATGTGTCATTGATATCATCTTTTGCTACCCTTCAGAGAGAGTGTACAACTGCCAGAGATCCATACAAGGCAACATGGTGGACTTTGAAGTGCTGGACACAGCAGGACTTGTGAGTTTAGTTTCAGTCAGAGTTTTAAGGCACTCGCAAAACAAATAGATCATATTTCAAGCACTAACACTTACAAATAGATCATATTTTAAGCTCTAACACTTGTACTTCTGTCGTGGCGGCGATAAAAGGGAGCATTGGTTTCTTCTACTGCAAAAACAATTGTGAGACAGCATGGTGGAATCAGGCTCTCGTCAAAATGATGAAATCAAAGATATTGGCAGTTTTCTGTCCGTTTGGCAATTTTTATCTAATTTTTGTTTTTAAGCTCAACAGCTTTTACGTCCATTAAAAAAACATTTCTGTGTGGATTATCCCGAAAAACGTTGATTAAAGGTACAAAAAATGTAATTTTTCAGTTTTCAAGGACTCTCACGCATTGAAAGATACCAAGCTTTGGCGGTCATTTTCTCCCTTAATTTTCCTCTGAAATCAGGTTACCCTACTTACTTCAATCATAAACATTTCGACTTCTATTAAAGATAGATGGGTACTTTTTTTACTAAAAGATAGACAAATGAACAGGCTTTGAGAT